AATAGGTGTGTAGAGAACAAAAAGTATATGCAATGCGCAAGTTAGATCTCACTCACACCCAGGCCCCTCCAATCCGGCAACGCAAGTGTATGGTTGCATGGTGTACTCAGTCTCACCTACATTTGCAGAGGTGATGTGAAGGCACATGGTTTTTTGTTAATATTCACATTCCAGGGTACGAAAGGTACAGCACAAACTAACTTGGCCACTCTTTTCTGCTGAAGGATGGGCTTCCTGGCCTTCGGATTGGATGTAAAAATGGCAATGCCGCGAATTGCAATTACTATGTTGGCCTTAGTTTCTCTCACGAACTTGCGCAACCAAGTGCTTACCTTGGTGCCATCTTCCGGCGATCCGAGTTGGATGGAGGCAGGTCTGTTCTGAGCATTTTTCAAGGGGTCAAAGGTGTTATTTGTCGTCATTTGTGTCATCATCTCTAGTTCCCGACTGCGTAGCAAGGGTTCCCGTTTCACTCTGCCATGGGGGCTTGGGGATTGAGGCTGTGTTTGCCAGAGGTTGCGTAACCGTCCGCAACCGTCCGCAACCGTTCGCAACCGTTCGCGTGAGGGCCGCTGTGCCTATTGGTGAGTTTTGCAAAAGTGGTTCCTTTTGGAGGTTTCAAGCGTCGCGTAGCTTCGTTTCGCGTGGCAGGCGTGGCACTTTGTGACATTCCAACATGTTTCATAACATTTTGGAATTCATTTTGTGTGGCAGGCGCAATACTTTTGCGTCGTTGTCAGAGGATGAGTTGCATTTTTGGTGGGAGGTGCAGCACTTCGGAGACCTCCAGCGTCATTCCGCGTGGCAGGCGCAGCACTTCAGACGTGTCGTGTTGCGTGTTTTTTGCGAATCGCATTGTCGGGGCTGCATCAAGTGGTGACAATGTGCAAATTCCGCGGCCTGCGTGGCATTTTGTGAGATTTTGAGGTAGTTAGTTTAGGGTTCGTTAGGAAAGAGGTTCTAATGTGGTATTGCGTGGCAGGCGTGGCACATCGTGACATTCTCACGTGTTTGAAAAGTGCCGAAAGTCGTTTTGCGTGACGCGCGCCATACTTTCGCAAGGTTTTCAGAAAATGTCCCGCATTTCTCCTGGCAGGCGCAATGCATTGGATACTTCCATCGTCATATTGTGTGGCAGGTGCAGCACTTTAGACGTCTGCTCTTGCGAGTTTTTTGCGAATCACAATGCCAGTGCTGCGTGAAGTAGTGACAACGAGCAAATCGCGTGGCAGGCGTAGCAGGACATCGTGAGACTGTAATTTTGCGTGCCAGTGGCAGTATTTGGTGAAGATCCGTCGTGTGTGGAATGTCCTTTTGCCTGGCAGGCGCAGCAATTCGGACACTCCTATACACAATGCACTTTGGACTTTGCACTCTACACTTTACACTTTGCACCCTACACTTTTCACTGTACACTTTACACTCCACACATTGCACCTTACAGTGCTCACTCTACACTCTACACTTTACACTATACTTAACACACTACACTTTCAACTTCACACTCTACACTTGACACTTTACATCTACACTATACACTGTATACTTTGTACTCTACACTTAACACTCCGCACTCTACACTCCGCTCTTTAAACTTCACACTTTACACTCCACACTTTACACTTTACACGCCACACTTTTACACTTTCTACTTCCGACTTTACACTTTACACTCTACACTCCGCGCTTTACACTCCACACTCTACACTGCACACTCCACACTCTACACTTTACACTCCACACTTTACACTTTCGACTTCCGACTTTACAGTTTACACTCTACGCTCCACACTCTGCACTCTACAAACTACACTTTGCACTTTAAAGTAACTCTACACTGTGCACTCCCCACTCCCCACTCCACACTTTACACTTTACACACTACACTTTGCACTTTATACTTTACACTCTAAACTTTGCACTTCCCACTCCACACTTTGCACTTTACACTCCGCACTCTACACTCCACACCCTTTACCCTACACTTCACACTTTACACTCTACACTGTACACTCCACACTTCACACTCTGCACTTTACACTTAACACTCTACACACTACGTCTCCCACCCATCCATTTTCTTCACACTCCACACTTTGCATTCCACCCCCTTCCACATTCCACAGTCTACAGTGCACTGGTACGGTAACAGGGGAAAAATGTACAAGACTGTTAAAAAAAATCGTTTCCACAAAAGTGCTTTACGTGACCTCATTCGGGTTCGTGGGCTGCATCTTGTTTGTTTTTCGCATCTGTGCCATTCTCGATTGGCTCCAGAGGAGAGCGTGTAAGATTCAGAGCGTCTGGGGAGCAAGCGTAATTTTGGTTCCGCACCGTTTTATGGGAGGAATATTTCCTGATTGCCGTGACGTTCATGTTTCTAAACCTGGTTGGCCACACGACCTCCTTCTACTTGGAATCTCTTGGCAAGATCCAAATGCAGAAGATGGCCAACAAGGTGAACCTGTGGGGAATGCTCTCTATTTTTTGTTTGGTCATC